AATCTCTAGGAGATGCTCAGTTTTTATCAAGGATGTCGTCAAACTATTTAAATTGTGCATTTATAGGATAGTCAGGTGTGGCCTGAGGAAAGATAGGAGAGGCTTGTAGAAGAAAGTTTGTTATACTCACAGTTCCTAAAGAGGGGGTCATCACATGCCATGCAGGGTCACTGGCGAACACATGGGAGTAGTCAGGAGGCAGAGCACTGAGACTGGGGAGAGTTTGGGCCATGGCCTTTATTGAAGTTTCTGAGGCAGGGCAGGTTAAACAGTTGAGGAGTGCCAGTTAAATAATTTTTTTTTCCTTTTTTTTTTTTTTTTTTTTTTTTTTAACAGGGTCTCTCTGTTGCCCAGGCTGGAGTACAGTGGTGCCATCATGGCTCATTGCAGCCTTGACTTCCTGGGCTCAAGTGATTCTCCTGTCTCAGCCTCCCAAGTAGCTGGGATTACAGGCGCCTGCCATCACACCTGGCTAATTTGTTTGTTTTTTGAGACCACGTTTCACCAGGTTGCCCAGGCTGAAATTTTGGTAGGCTCTAAATTAGATGGGTGGCCCCTAGTTGCCTGGTAGCAGGGCCTGGGATGATTAAGGCAAAGCAATATTCTCTTCTGGAGTATAAGGGCCAGATAGATAGAGCTAGATGGCTGTAGATTGGTTAGTTTGTGCATCAAAGACATGCTCCTGGCTGAGCCCTTTGCTGTCTCTAAGAATTGGCTAGCCCTGATAGGGGCAGTCTCTCCCCAGCTAGAAAGATTTTTCAAAATGTTAAAACAGGCCAAGTGCGATGGCTCACGCCTGTAATCCTAACACTTTGGGAGGCTGGGACAGGTGAATTACCTGAGGTCAGGAGTTTGAGACCAGCCCAGTCAACACGGTGAAACCCCATCTCTACTAAAAATGCAAAAAATTAGCTGGACATTGTGGTGGGTGCCTGTAATTCCAGCTACTTGGGGGACTGAGGCAGGAGAATTGCTTGAACACAGGAGGCAGAGGTTGCAGTGAGCTGAGATGGTGCCATTGCACTCCAGCCTGGGCAAGAAGAATGAAACTCCACCTCAAAAAAAAACAAAACTGTTAAAACAGCATAACACACAGAAAATTTAAAATGTGCACAATGAATCAAGTAACATAGCCTTCCTTTCCCTAGGACAAAAGTATGCCTTTATATTTGCATATGAAAATTATGCCATTTAAGTAATTTTGCAGAATGCAGAAAATCTACTCCTAGATGACTTTATCTTTGCTTATTCAGGGAAGCAGCTTCTGTGGTTTTAAAAAGTAAAAGAAGGGGCCGGGCGCGGTGGCTCAAGCCTGTAATCCCAGCACTTTGGGAGGCCGAGGCGGGTGGATCACGAGGTCAAGAGATCGAGACCATCCTGGTCAACATGGTGAAACCCCGTCTCTACTAAAAATACAAAAAATTAGCTGGGCATGGTGGCGCGTGCCTGTAGTCCCAGCTGCTCAGGAGGCTGAGGCAGGAGAATTGCCTGAACCCAGGAGGCGGAGGTTGCGGTGAGCCGAGATCGCGCCATTGCACTCCAGCCTGGGTAACAAGAGCGAAACTCCGTCTCAAAGAAAAATAAAAAATAAAAAAAATAAAAAGTAAAAGAAAAAAAGCTCTTATTTCTCAGTATCCTGCATTGTGAACAATTCCTGCTTGCTGAGTTTGTCTCCATTTTCTTTCCAAATCCCAGCTTCTATACCTTTGCACATGCAGTCTCTCAGCTTAACCTTTCCTCTCCATTTTTGAAATTTTACTTATTCTTTTTTGTTGTTGTTGTTTGAAATGGAGTTTCACTCTGTTGCCCTGGCTGGGGTGCAATGACACAATCTCACCTCAATGCAACCTCTGCCTCCTGGGTTCAAGTGAGTCTCCTGCCTCAGCTTCCCGAGTAGCTGGAATTACAGGCGTGCACCACCATGCCCAGCTAGTTTTGTATTTTTATTAGAGATGGGGTTTTACTGTGTTGGCCAGGCTGGTCTTGAATTCCTGACCTCAAGTGATCCGCCCATTTCGCCTCACAAAGTGCTGGGATTACAGGTGTGAGCCACTCTGCCGGGCTGGAATTTTACTTTTTCTTTTTATCTTTTTTTTTTTTTTTTTTTTGAGACGGAGTTTCACTCATGTTACCCAGGATGGAGTGCAATGGCGCAATCTCGGCTCACCGCAACCTCCGCCTCCTGGGTTCAGGCAATTCTCCTGCCTCAGCCTCCTGAGTAGCTGGGATTACAGGCACGCACCACCATGCCCAGCTAATTTTTTGTATTTTTAGTAGAGACGGGTTTCACCATGTTGACCAGGATGGTCTCGATCTCTTGACCTTGTGATCCACCCGCCTCGGCCTCCCAAAGTGCTGGGATTACAGGCTTGAGCCACTGCACCCGGCATTTTTTTTTTTTTTTTTTTTTATAGATGGGGTTTCACCATATTGGCCAGGCTGATCTCGAACTCCTGACCTCAAGTGATCCACCCGCGTCGGCCTCCCAAAGTGCTGGCATTACAGGCGTGAGCCACCATGCCCAGCCGGGTACTTTTTCTTTAAGGGTCAATCCAAGATCACACTGCTGATGAATTAATTATATAATCATTTGCTCTCTTATTTTCCTAAACATTAGTCTTTTCTCTTAGCTAGTATACACATTCTTGATGGGCAGGAACCATATTTTCCTTGTTTATTCAATAATAAGTGAATAATGTCATTGATAATCAAATACCTTTTATAACAAATAGTACTTTTAATACTTAAGTTTTCTTCTTCTTCTTTCTTTCTTTTTTGAGACAGGGTCTCATTCTGTGGTCCAGGTTGGAGTGCAGCGGCTCTATCTTGGCTCAATGCAACCTCCGCCTCCTGGGCTCCAGCAATCCTCCCACCTCAGCCTCCTGAGTAGCTGGGACCACAGGCAGACATCACCATGCCTGGCAAATATTTTTTTGTAGAGATGGGGTTTTGCTATATAGCCTAGCCTGGACACAAACTCCTGGGCTCAAGCAGTTCACTTGCCTTGGCCTCCTAAAGTGCTGGGATTACAGGTGTGAGCCACCACACCAGCCTGTGAATTTTCTTTTTCTTTTTTTTGAGATGGAGTCTCACTTTCGTCTCCCAGGCTGGAGTACAGTGGTGCGATCTCGGCTCACTGCAACCTCCACCTCCCAGATTCAAACGATTCTCCTCGCTCAGCCTCCTGAGTATCTGGAATTACAGGTGCCTGCCATCACACCTGGCTAATTTTTGTATTTTTTTAGTAGAGACAGGGTTTTACCATGGTGGCCAGGCTGGTCTGAAACTCCTGACCTCAAGTGATCCACCTGCTTGGCCTCCCAAAGTGCTGGGATTACAGGCGTGAGCCACCGCGCCTGGCCGAATTTTCATATAAGTTGATTTAACATTGAAGTCTATAAGGATTGACATCTATAGCCGGGCGCGGTGGCTCAAGCCTGTAATCCCAGCACTGTGGGAGGCCGAGGCGGGTGGATCACGAGGTCAAGAGATCGAGACCATCCTGGTCAACATGGTGAAACCCCGTGTCTACTAAAAATACAAAAAATTAGCTGGGCATGGTGGCGTGTGCCTGTAATCCCAGCTACTCAGGAGGCTGAGGCAGGAGAATTGCCTGAACCCGGGAGGCGGAGGTTGCGGTGAGCCGAGATCGCGCCATTGCACTCCAGCCTGGGTAAAAAAAGCGAAACTCCGTCCCAAAAAAAAAAAAAAAAAAAAAAAAAAGGATTGACATCTATAAAGCTTTTCATTGTATATTGTCATTAGCATTTTAATTTTTACATATTTTCATTATACATACAGTTTGAAAAGATTTTATTGTTCAAAAATCAAAAAACAATATATTTTACACATTTCTAAGATTAGTATTCAGAAATTTTACATTTAAATTAATTTTAACATTTAAACAATTTTTTTTTTTTTTGAGATGGAATCTCACTGTGTGACCTAGGCTGGAGTGCAGTGGCACAATGTCAGCTCACTGCAGCCTCTGCCTCCCAGGTTCAAGCAATTCTCTTGCCTCAGTCCCCTGAGTAGCTGGGATTACAGGTGTCTGCCACCACACCTGGCTAAGTTTTGTATTTTTAGTATAGATGGGGTTTCACCATGTGGGCCAGGCTGGTCTCAAATTCCTGACCTCAGGTGATCTGCCCCCCTTGGCCTCCCAAAGTGCTCTTTTTTGTTTAAGTGCTCTTAAAAAAGATTTTTAATACTTTACCCAAAATTTAAAATATAAAAATCATCACCCCAAATTTTAAATTTTATAATTATCTTTGTCTTTATCTTCCCAAGAGAATATGTATGTATCATAAATACATTTTTTTCCTTTTTTCTCTTTTTGAGACAGAGTCTTGCTCTGTCACCCAGGGTGAAATGCAGTGGTGCCATCTTGGCTCACTGCAACCTTTGTCTTCAGGGTTCAAACGATTCTCCTACCTCAGCCTCCAAAGTAGTTGGGATTATAGGAACGTGCCACTGCACTTAGCTAATTTTTGTGTTTTTAGTAGAGATGGGGTCTCACCATGTTGGCCAGGCTAGTCTTGAACTATTGACCTCAAGTGATCCACCTGCCTTGGCCTCCCAAAGTGCTGAGACTACAGGCATGAGCCATTGTGGCTGGCCATAAATACATTTTTTAAAAGTAATTTCTGCTTGTCGATGTCAAATGATATAAAATTTGACTTAATTTTTTTTTTTTTTTTTTTTTTTTTTTGAGACGGAGTTTCGCTCTTGTTACCCAGGCTGGAGTGCAATGGCACAATCTCGGCTCACCGCAACCTCCGCCTCCCGGGTTCAGGCAATTCTCCTGCCTCAGCCTCCTGAGTCGCTGGGATTACAGGCACACGCCACCATGCCCAGCTAATTTTTTGTATTTTTAGTAGAGACGGGGTTTCACCATGTTGACCAGGATGGTCTCGATCTCTTGACCTCGTGATCCACCCGCCTCGGCCTCCCAAAGTGCTGGGATTACAGGCTTGAGCCACCGCGCCCAGCCAATTTGACTTAATTTAATGTTTGTTTTTTGTTGCTATAAAGGTGAATATGCAGTTTGATATTATAAATAGAAAGAGCTTTTTTGTGTGTGTTCTATAAACATTCCTCCCTTAAATCCTCCTGTGGAAAAACATCCAGCTCTGTAGTCAGTGGCACTGCACCCTAGAAAAATGGTGAAGGGAAAGTCTTCAGGAGGATGGGACATTTCTGAACCCTTAGAGTTTCCACCTGCTTAGTGGGTCACTTTGAAAAGTGAAAGGGAGGGAATCAGGTACCCCTTTCCCAACAACTAGTTTTCCATAGGTATATATGCATACACAGAGTGAGAGAATTTCAATAGGTATATAAATTTATATATGTCAGATATATATATATACACACACACACACATACATATCCCTGACTTTACATACAATGTATAGTTATTATAAATCAGGGACTTTTAAGATAAATATAATATTTAAATCTCTTTTGCTGACTTTTAATAACATGGGGAAAAAAAACCTGTGTTTCAAGATGTGAAATTGGAGACTGGTTTTCCATTTCTTCAGCTCCTAATAAGCACTAAGAAGCAATTTGCATCAATTCACCACCTACTCCTTGGCATCCCCAATCCCTCCAGCAGTTATTGCGAAGGTGGCTTCATTTTCAGGCATCTCAGGACTAACAGAATACAAGGGAACAGAAGTTTATAAAAAGCTCTATTTCTATAAATACTATATTCATGTCACAGGCATTATGCTCCCATCAGTCTGAGTCTCCAGAGACATCTCAGAGTTGCTACAACCAAATGTGGCCTACAGAACTTACCCACAAGTATTTTTAACCCTCACAAACATTCACTGAGCAACTTCTATATATGAAGTTTTGAATCTCAAGAAAAATTACCCCAAACTTGGAAACAGGCAAAAGGATAACTGAGTGTTCTTTTTTTTTTCTTTAAGATCGTTTTGCTCTTGTTGCCCAAGCTGGAGTGCAGTGGTGCGATCCTGGCTCACTGCAACCTCCACCTCCTGGGTTCAAGTGATTCTCTTGCCTCAGCCTCCCAAGTAGCTGGGATTACAGGTGCGTGCCACCATGCCCAGCTGATTTTTTGCATTTTTTGTAGAAATGGGGTTTCACTGTGTTAGCCAGGCTGGTCTCGAATTCCTGACCTCAGGTGATCCACCCGCCTTGGCCTCCCAAATGCTGAGATTACAGGCATGAGCCACTGCGTCTGGCCTTGGGTATTCTTTTAGAATAGTGTCAGGCATTGTATAGCAGCCCTTTAGGGACTTATCTGATTCTATAGGGGTATGCACCTTTCTCATCACTAAACTAACATAGGAGCAAACTTTTTTTTTCTTTCAAAATTGGATGTCAACGTAGGAGCAAACTTTAAAAGACTTTGAAATAAATGAAAAGATTACATAGGTTGTCTAGCACATCTCGCAGGTTATCCAGTTCTATGAGGGTTGTATGCTTTCCATTGTCTTTGATCTATTTTATAACTCCTTAAGTTGTAGAAAACTATGAGTAATGCGAATTATTCTTGTCCAGAGAGATGTAAATCGTGTAAGGTGGAATGGAATGGATTATTTTCCTATAGATACTGACCCATTTTTGATCAATTTATATTTCATTTTGTTAGAGTAGGTAGTTAGGCAGACATGAGCAGGGTAGGAGAGCCCTGCACCCCACCAAGAATGTAATGCAACCATCAGGTGATGGTCAGGTGGTTGTTAAACTGTCTCTTTAATAGGCCAGGCACGGTGGCTCACGCCTGTAATCCCAGCACTTCCGGAGGCTGAGGCGGGTGGATCACTTCAGGTCAGAAGTTTGAGACCAGCCTGGCCAACATGGTGAAACCTCATCTTTACTAAAAATACAAAAAAATTAGCCAGGAATAGTGGTGGTGTGCCTGTAGCCCCAGCTACTTGGGAGGCAGGAGAATCACTTGAACCCAGGAGATGGAGGTTGCAGTGAGCGGAGATTGAGTCACTGCACTCCAGCCTGGGCAAAGGAGCGAGACTCCATCTCAAAAAAAAAAAAAAAAAATTATTTCAGTATTCCTTTGATTGATTACAATGTCCATTTGAATCATTGGTTTCCTCCTTAATTAACGGGTTGAGCCAGGTGCGGTGGCTCATGCCTGTAATCCCAGCACTTTGGGAGGCCGAGGCGGGTGGATCAGGAGGTCAAGAGATCGAGACCATCCTGGTCAGCATGGTGAAACCCCGTCTCTACTAAAAATACAAAAAATCAGCTGGGCATGGTGGCGCCTGCCTGTAATCCCAGCTACTCGGGAGGCTGAGGAAGGAGAATTGCCTGAACCCAGGAGATGGAGGTTGCGGTGAGCCGAGATCGCGCCATTGCACTCCAGCCTGGGCAACAAGAACGAAACTCCGTCTCAAAAAAAAAAAAAGAAAAAAGAAAAAAAAAATTAACGGGTTGAATAAAATCTTTGATACATGTTCATTTTATATTTACTTGCAGGAAAGTCAAGTTTTAATTAAAAAAATCATACTTTCGCATGTACCAGACTCTATAGATTGTACAAAAGAGAAAGAATCCTTACTCTTAAGAAGTCTAATAGGTGAGCTATGACATCTGACAAGATGGAACCATTTAGTTCTACAAAGTACATTTGTTTTTTGGGGGCAGTATTTTTTTGAGACAGAGTCTCTTTCTGTCACCCAGGCTGGAGTGCACAATCTCAGCTCACAGCAACCTCCCCTTAGCAGGTTCAAAAGATTCTCCCACCTCAGCCTCCTGAGTAGTTGGGATTACAGGTGCCTGTCACCATGCCTGGCTAATTTTTGTATTTTTAGTAGAGACGGCGTTTCACCATGTTGGCCAGGCTGGTCTTGAACTCCTGACCTCAGCCTCCCAAAGTGCTGGGATTACAGACAAGAGCCACTGCGCCCGGCCCAACAAAGTACATCTGTTGTAAATTTCTAGAGATTGCCAAAGCTCCATAAAACATAGCATTTATATACGTATTATAATCTTCAACAGAGACAGATGGTGAAAAGCAAAATGGTCTGAACAAAAACCATCTTAGATAGATGGGGAACTGATTATTTAATATTTATTTAATGACAATACATAATAGGTACTACTGTGATTCATTGCAAACACCAGATTAAGAGCTCATCTAATTTTTAGGGGGCAGCTTTTTCCTCTCTAGGGTAGTGTTTCTGCAAATCTTTGCTTTGTGGCTTGGAGTTGATTAGTCACAAATATGACACATCTACCGTGTCCCAGGAACTGAGAATACAATGGTGAGGAAGCAAACCCTTAGGATTTCTGTCTAGCGGGGATGATGTATGTTATACAAATCGTTACCAATAAAATAAATGTAAGTTCCCTAAGGGCATGAACTTGTCTTTTTGTTTTGTTCATTGCTTTATCCTAAGAACCTAGAATAGCTAATATGTAGTAGGTTTCTCTGTAAAAATTTATTAAATCTGTAATAATTTTTTTTTTTTAATTTTGTATCTTTTATTTTTTTGAGACAGAGTTTTGCTCTGTTGCCCAGGCTGGAGTGCAGTGGCACAGTCTCCACTCACTGCAACCTCTGCCTCCTGGAGTCAAGCAATTCTCCCACCTCAGCCTCTGGAGCAGCTGGAATTACAGGCACCCACCACCACGCCCAGATAATTTGTTGTATTTTAGTAGAGACGGGGTTTCACCATGTTGCCCAGGCTGGTCTCGAACTCCTGACCTCGGGATCTGCCTGCCTCTGCCTCCTAAAGTGCTGGGATTACAGGCGTGAGCCACCCTGCCTGGCCTAATTTTTATATTTTTAGTAGAGAGAGCATCTCACCATGTTGGCCAGGCTGGTCTCTAACTCCTGACCTCAGGTAATCTGCCCGCCTTGGCCTCCTAAAGTGTTGGGATTACAGGTGTGAGCCACTGCATCCAGCCAAAATCTGTAATTCTTTTTTTTTTTTTTTTTTTGAGACAGAGTCTCACTCTGTCTCCAGGCTGGAGTGGTGCAGTGGCATGATCTTGGCTCACTGCAACTTCCAACTTCCTAGTTGAAGCAATTCTCCTGCCTTAGCCTCCTGAGTAGCTGGGATTACAGGCATACCAGCTAATTTTTGTATTTTTAGTAGAGACAGGGTTTCACCGTGTTGACCAGGATGGTCTCAATCTCCTGACTTCGTGATCTGCCTGCCTCAGCCTCCCAAAGTGCTAGGATTACACGTGTGAGCCACCACACCCAGCCCCAAATCTGCAATTCTTAATTAAACAAGTAAAGTGCTGAGAAAGAATATAGGGTATAAGATTCTGGGTAGCCTAGACTGTAAGGGCTAAGGAAAGTTTCCCTGAGAAATTGATGTTTAAACTGAAACCTGAAAAGCAAATAGAGTTAGCTTACCAAAAAGAAAGGAGATATATTTCCATTCTTGATACTTACCCTGCACTTACCACACTTTAATTGGAATTGATGATTTCATTATCTAGGTGTATGCTTTTCAGGGACCAAGTCTATGTGTCAACAGAATCTCTGAATCCCTATTACCAAGCACACAGTAGGGACTTCCCAATAAGCTGAACATTTTTTGAGAAGGAAATTCAAACACACAGCATCTGCCAGTAATAATTACAGCATTGCAGGAGATGCAATTGTGTTTAATACCATATGCACGAGAATCTGATGAGGAGGCCGGGTGTGATGGCTCACATCTATAGTCCCAGCACTTTGGGAGGCCAAGGCGGGAGGATCCCTTGAGCCTAGGAGTTTAAGACCAGCTTGGGCAACATGGCAAAGCCCCGTCTCCGCGCGCACGCGCGCGCGCGCGCGCACACACACACACACACACACACACACACAATAAAAAAAATTTACCTGTCATAAATCTTGGCAATTCTGAGTTCTCCTCTTCCCTTTCGCAAGCTTATTCTTGTTGTTGAAGCATGAGCTAGAATGTGTCCCCCAATAGGTTTTTTGGGATCTGCCTGAAAGCTGAATTAATAAAACACCTTTTTATGTTTCATTATATGGACTATATATGGCAATATCTGCAATTCAAGGCAACCTTTCTGTGGTGGGTATCAGTAGTTAGAGTAAGTGTATATTCTAAACAAGCAAAGGCTTGTTCATAAACTATGGAGTGGGGTGAGTTTTCGAGTTGCTATATACCCCATTTAGTCTAGGCTTCTGAGGGCCCTATTTTATTATTCTTGTTTATATTTTGTTTGACTTTTTAAAATGAGATTACTGGCCGGTTGCAGTGGCTTGTGCCTATAATCTCAATACTTTGGGAGGCCGAGGTGGGCAAATCACTGAGGTCAGTTTGAGACTACCCTGAACAACATGGCAAAACCCTGTCCCTACTAAAAATACAAAAATTAGCTGGGTGTGGTGGCATGTGCCTAGTGCTTGTAATGTAGTAGTGCCTCCTCAGCTACTCAGGAGGCTGAGGCAGGAGAATTGTTTGAACCCAAGAGGCAGAGGCTGCAGTGAGCCGAGATCAGCTACTGCACTCTAGCCTGGGCAACAGGGCAAGACTCCGTCTCAAAAAAAAAAAAAAAGAAGCTTTTTCTTATTTATTAACTGTATACTGAAATCCTTCATGAGAATAATCTTGGCAATATCTTTCTCTTTGTCATTGATGCCCAAAGTTTCTTTTACTAAATCAAAATATTGGTATGATGGCAAGAAGTCCAAGTTTCTTTTTTGTTTGTTTATTTTCTTTGAGATGGAGTTTCACTCTTGTTGCCCAAGCTGGAGTGCAATGGTGCAATCTTGGCTCATTGCTATCTCCACCTTCCAGGTTCAAGTGATTCTCCTGCCTCAGCCACCTGAGTCACTGGGATTACAGGCGCGTACCACCATGCCTGGCTAATTTTTTGTATTTTTAGTAGAAAAGGGGTTTCACCATGTTAGCCAGGCTGTCTTGAACGCCTGACCTCAGGTGATCTGCCCGCCTCAGCCTCCCAAAGTGCTGGGATTACAAGTGTGAGCCACTGTGCCCAGCCCAGATTCTGGCTTTTTAGCCATATGACTTGAAGCAAATTGTTTAACCACTCTAAATCTCTGCTCCTTCTTTTCTTTTTTCTAGATGGTATCTTTCTGTTGCCCAGTCTGGAGTTCAGTGCCAGGATCTCAGCTCACTGCAGGCTTGGCCTCCCAGATTCAAGAAATTCTCCTGCCTCAGCCTCTGGAGCAGCTGGGACTACAGGTACCCTCCACCACGCCTGGCTAGTTTTTGTATTTTTAGTACAGACATGGATTCACCAAGTTGGTCAGGCTGCTCTTGAACTCCTGATCTCAAGTGATCTGCCCACCTCGGCCTCCCAAATGCTGGGATTACAGGTGTGAGCCACTGCTCCTGACCTGATTCTTCTTCTTTTTTTTTTTTGAGACAGAGCCGTGCTTTGTCATCCAGGCTGGAGTGCACTGGTGCGACCTTAGCTCACTGCAACTTCTGCCCCCTGAGTTCAAGAAATTCTCCCTGCCTCAGCCTCCCAAATAGCTGGGATTACGGGCACCTGCCACCAAACCCAGATAATTCTTTTATATTTAGGAGAGTAGAGGTTTCACCATGTCGGCCAGGCTGGTCTCAAACTTCTGACCTGAGGTGATCCACCTGCCTTGGTGTCCCAAAGTGCTGGAATTACAGGCATGAGCCACTGTGCCCAGCCTTGCTTCTTTGTTTTTAATAGGGGATAATAGCTATACCTATGGATATAAATCTCTGCTCCTTCTTTTCTTTTTTCTAGATGGTATCTTTTCTAGGTGGTATCACACAATGGATAGTTGTGAAAATAAAATGAAATAATTCAGTTAAGGCGTAAGTCCGGTGACTACAATTATTATTATTTACCAGCTTTCCTAATCCTGACTTAAACATTTATTACCTATATTACCTTGGGCTAGTTACTTACCCTTTCTCAATTTCTTTCACTATAAAATGGGAGTAAAAAAAACCTTACCTCTTAGGGTTTTTTGAGAATTCAAGATATATTGAATCTGTTTTTTTTGGTTTTTTTGAGACAGAGTCTCACTCTCTGTCACCCAGGCTAGAGTGCAGTGGCAGAATCTTGGCTTATTGCAACCTCCACCTCCCAGGCTCAAGCGATTCTCTTGCCTCAGCCTCCTGAGTAGCCAGGATTGTAGGTGTGCGCCACCACACCCAGCTAATTTTTTTATATTTTTAGGAGAGATGGAGTTTCACTATGTTGGCCAGGCTGGTCTCAAACTCCTGTCCTCAAATGATCCGCCTGTCTCGGCTTCCCAAAGTGCTGAATTACAGGTGTGAGCCGCTGCACCTGGCCTGAATCTTGAATATTATACATACAAGCCTCCTATGTGCCAGGAACTGTACCTGTTCATTTACATACATTAGTTCTACCCTTATGACAATCTTGGCATATAAGAAATCCTATAAAAGATAATTATTGGCTGGGCACAGTGGCTCACACCTGTAATCCCAGGACTTGGGAGACCAAGGTGGGCAGATCACTTATTTGATCCCTTGGAGGCCCATGAGTTTGAGATTAGCCTGGGCAACATGATGAAACCCTGTCTACAAAAAATACAAAAATTAGCCAGGTATGGTGGCACATGCCTGGTTCTGTGGTATCCTGGGGGCTGAGGTGGGAGGATCACTTGAGCCTGGGAGGTCAAGGCTGCAGTGAGCTAAGATCATGCCACTGCACTCCAGCCTGGGCAATACAGACCCTATCTCAAAAACTAAACTAAAATAATAAATAGGATAACTATTATTATTTATCTAAACAATTCAGCTAAAACAGTCACTCTGTCAGTAAAAAGTAGACCAAGAGAATTTTCTTAAAGTTTCTTTGAACTTCCTCTTACAGCAGTTATAACCAAGTCTTGAGGTGAAGTACAAGAAGGTGTAATAGCATTCCACATTCTTTTAGAGGGCTTTAATTTTCTTCTATTTCTGACCAAGCTTCAGAAAACCACCCACAACCCTCCTTAAGCCTATCATCTTATTTCCTCTTCTTTTATATTTTCTTCTCCTCTTCTTTACTCCTTTTGTCAAAGAACTGGGGAGTATGGTAAGGAGGAGGAAGAGATGAGAGTGGATATTAGGAATAAAGAGGATATGAGAATATTTCACTTCTCCCCCTCTTGTTGAACAGGATATGGCGTATTATGTTGTTGAGGGTAAGACCCAAAACAGCCTGACTTTGCAATGTCAAATTAGGATGCTGGAGTCATGAAATAGATATAGAGTTATGGTATAGGATGGGAAGGATGGTACAGTGAGGTTCAAATAGCATCAACTTCGATGTAAAGGATACCAGGGTTCAAATCCTGGCTCCCACATTTTTAAATTCTGGGATTGGGCAAGCACTAAGTATTCTGAGTCTCTGTTTCCACCTTTATAAATTAGGAATAATCATCATGCCTATCTCTTTTTTTTTTCTTTTGAGACAGAGTCTCACTCTGTCACCCGGACTGCAACCTCCACCTCAGCCTCCTGAGTAGCTGGGATTATAGGTGTACGCCACCACACTCAAGTAATTTTTTTGTATTTTTAGTAGAGACGGGGTTTCACCATGTTGGTCAGGCTGGTCTGGAATTCCTGACCTCATGATCTGCATGCCTCGGCCTCCCAAAGTGCTGGGATTACAGTTGTGAGCCACCATGCCTGGCAGGGAAGGCTTTGAGATTTTGGGAATATGGGGTAAGGGGAATACCACCAACAGAGAAGAATTTTGAAGAAAGAGAAGAGATGGTTAAAAAAAAGGGTATGCTTAAGAAGTTTTGTTAAGTAATTATTCCCTCTGTCTGCTCCCAAAATATGGAGAAAAATATATACTTCTTTCAATATTTTAAAGATGGGATTCTGGGTTCTTTCTTTTTTTTTTTTTTTGAGACGGAGTTTCACTCATGTTACCCAGGCTGGAGTGCAATGGCGCGATCTCGGCTCACCGCAACCTCCGCCTCCTGGGTTCAGGCAATTCTCCTGCCTCAGCCTCCTGAGTAGCTGGGATTACAGGCACGCACCACCATGCCCAGCTAATTTTTTGTATTTTTAGTAGAGACGGG